CGCCCCGTCCGCCTACCCCCGCCCCTCGGGCGTCTCCGCCGTGCGGAGGGCACCAGTTCTATCTCCCTAGGGCCTCCTGGGCCCCGCCTGGATCCCGCGGACCTAAGACGACTAGGGGCTGTTTGGGGGCGCCACCGCCGCTGAGGCACCATTCGCTTGGCCTCGTTAACCTGCGTCCCCACTTTCCCCGGGGCCACCGGGTTCCCTGCTCTGGGCGGATACCGCGAGAATTCTCTCTCCGCCCCCAACTCCTTTCTGGGCAGAGCTGGTTGGGACTTGTCAAACACCCACGTCTCCTGGTCCTGGGAAGGGCTTGGGAGCCACGCCTCGGGCGACGGGCTCCGCCCAGACCCTGTTCCTCCACTGCACTACTATCGTCTGGCCGGAGACCGACGTGTGTACGCGCCCCGCACGAGCTGGCGCTTAGGCATTGCTGAGTAACCATCACCATCCCTCCTCCCAGCCCGCTGTCGGGTTCCTGGGGCCGAGCAGCTGTGACAGTCCTCCCTCAGGCAGTCCCAGCCCTCTTTTCCCCGCTCCGTGGAGGCTGGGGCGGGGAAGACTGCAGATTTGCAGATTGCTGGGCTGACCCTCGGCGTCCGGGCCAGGGCCTGGAGCAGTTGCGGCTCCTGGCCACTAGGTGTCAGGCTGTCCTCACTGTAGCGTGAGGTCCCCTCCAGCCTCTAAAGGAACAAAGCAGTCGCTTGGGGGGAAAGTGTGGTAGACCCTGTGCGAAAGGCAGCGCAGCTGACAGCCGGTTGGAGGGGTGCGGAGGTGGGAAGTGGAAGTAGAGGAGGGAGGGGAGACGTGGGGTGAGGGGAAAAGCGCTGCGAGAGGAAGGAAGAGGCTAGAAATTTGAGGCGCAGAGACCCAGGGACTAAGTCGTTTGGGTGTTTCCTCTGCCTCGCCTGTTGGTTCCAAGGTTACACATTAACCCCTGTGGGGCTCCTGGGTCAACCAAGGCCCAGTCGGTTTCCAGGTTAGGGCACAAGTGTCCCAGGTGAACAGCTTTCCCCATCTGCACTCCCTTTCCCCACAAGGCAGCTTTATCTGCCAGGCGACACCGGCCTGAGCCAGAGACCGAGCCCTCGCGGGGCTCTTCCAGTGCTCATCCCACATGGGCGGGACAAGAGCAGAAGGTTAAACACCGCTTTTCTCACATTCCTCGCCCCTTCAGGAATAGGGACCCTAAGCCTTAGCTAATGACCACTCTCCTTAATACTGAGCTTTTATGGAGCTCCTGCAGAGGAGGAGGCGCCAGAGAGAACCTGGAATTCAACTCCGGTCAAGACCCTTCCCCCATTCCCAGCCCCCAAAAGAAAAGAATTTTTTTTTAAAAAAGGCCCTAACCGGTCAAACTAAGCAGCCCCCCTAGTTGTGGGCGGAAGCCTTGAACTCATCTCGGCCAAACGTCGGTCTGTCCTCTTGCCCCTTCCACTCGCCTCCTGGGAGCGGACGACCTTACTCGGAGTGTGCGGGGGGAAGTGCGGTGCTGACGAGCCCGGTGCGCACCGGTCAGGACAGCCTGGAGACCGTGTCCCCTCCTCCGAGGCTGAGTCAGTGTGCACACCGCGGGGTTTCCCCGGCCCCTCCCTAGGCAAACACGAAACTAACCCCGCTCCCTGCTCCACAAACCGAGAGCCCTGCTCTCGATTCTTGGTTGTGCTCATCGTTTGAGTGACAGTGGGGAATGAGCTTTCTCCTGTTGGAACAGCGTCACTCGTGGACAAGGGAAAATCTTCGTTTCCCACCCTACCCCGCTTACGGGGGGCATCTCTCGAGGGCGCGGAATCTCTCCGGTCTCGGAATTGGCTGGGACCGTGCTGGCCACTGCGGGGCACGCCAAGAAAGGGCGTGTTGTCCTATTCCTCGCACCGTGCGTGGGGCGGGGCTGTGAGGGAAAGGCCATTGCGTGCCGGGGCAGCGGGCACAGTGCAAACCACGGACACAGCTGCGAGACTGAATCGACGTTCAACTCAGCTTGCGCCGCCCGCCAAATACCTTGCGGCGTGGGGGGCGGGGCGCTAGGGTGGGCAGGTCCGCGCATGCGCCGCATCAGAGGGGGGGCGTTCCGGAAGTGCAACTCTGAGGCGTAAGATGGAGAAGTACGGGCGGATCCGAGTGGTGGGGAGAGGTGCCTTCGGGTGAGCCAGGGCTCTGCGGGAGGAAACTGCTCGGGGAGGGGGGAAATGAGCCCCAACTCTGACCGCCAAACTCCGGCCCGGCCAGCCCCGCCCAGAGGCGTGAGCGCCGGTCTGGAAGCCCCGCCCAGGCTTCCGGTCCCGGTCCGGGCGAGGAGACTCCGCCGAGTTCTGTTAGATTTTTCATTCATTCAACGAATACTGAGCGCCAGCTGTACCTGTCAGGCCCTGGGTGCTGGGTATACTGTTATAACCAAAACAGGCGTGGTCTCTTCTCTCTCAGCTTCCAGACTACAGGAAAATTATACAACAAACGAGACATTATTAAGACAGTTATGAAGTTATAGCAGTTTTGAAAGCTTGCGAGGTTAGAGTACAACACCAGGAGGGATGTGTATTTGGGGTGGTCAAGAAAAAATTTTGTGAGACGTGAGGTTAATTTTCTTCGGCGGCTGGTATGGAGATCCGAACCCTTGAGCTTGGTATTACAAGGCTGCACTCTAATCGGTCGAACCAAGCAACCAGGCTCAAGAAGATTTAAAGCCAAGACTGGATTGAGGACAAGTAGTCTAAAGGTGAAGGAAGAGCTTTTCAGGCAGAGGGGAAAGATGGGAAGGTCGTCACGTGGGAAGGAATTCAGAGTATTCAAGGAATTGAGAAAAAGAATAATGTAGTTGAAATGTAGCGGGCAAGGTAAAGAGTGATATAAGATGTGATTGTCACGGAGGGCAGCGACCAGATTATGGCCTTGTAAGCTGAAGTAAAGGGGTCGAATTTATTTTCAGTGTAAGGGTTTTAAAGCAGAGGAATAGTCTGATATGATTTGTGTTTTTAAAATGTCATCCTGGGGCCGCCCGGTGGCGCACTGCTACAGTGCGCCGCTTGAGAGTGCGGTGGCGCTCCCGCTGAGGGTTCGGATCCCACATACAGACCGGTTCCCGCTCACTGGCTGAGCGAGGTGCGGGTGCAACACCGAGGGTTGCGATCCCGTTGCCGGTCCCGGTCCGGTACGGGCGCGACACTGAGGGTTGCAATCCATTGCCGAACACGAAAAAAGACCAAAAAAAAGGAAAAAAAAAAAAAACAGTACTATGTAAAAAAAATAAAATAAAATGTCATCCTGGCTGCTGTGTGGAATTTAGATTTGAGGGTGTCAGAAATGAAAGGGACCGTTTTGGAGGCTAGTGTAGTATTTTAGGCAAGAAGTGACAATAAGTTGAGCAAGGGTTATAGCAGAGAGCACAGAGAGAATTGGATGGGTTCGCAATATTTTGTAGGTAGAGCTGGCCTGTTTGCTCAGTAGGTTAGAGTGTGGTGTTGAAACACCAAGGTCAAGGGTTCAGATCCCCATACTGTCTAACTGCCAAAAAATAAATAAATAAATAAAACGCAAATATTTTTGAAGTAGAAACAGGATTTGTTGATGTGTTAGCATGAGATGTAGGAAAGATACTGGGATGATTTTCAGGTATCTAATTTTAATAGTTGGGGAATGGTGGTGTCATTTACTGAGACAGAGGAGACTGAGGAAGGAAGGGTTTTGGGGGCAGGAATCAAGAGTTTTATTTTGAGTTTGTTAAAATTTAGGATGCCTGTTGCCAGCCCGTGGCTTACTCGGGAGAGTGTGGTGCTGATAACACCAAGGCTACGGGTTCAGATCCCATATAGGGATGGCCAGATAGCTCACTTGGGAGAGCGTGGTGCTGACACCACCAAGCCAAGGGTTAAGATCCCCTTACCGGTCATCTTTAAAAAAAAAAAAAAATTTTAGGATGAGCCATTCAGGTGGAGATGCAAAGCAGGTAGTTAGATATCTGGGTTTGAGTCTCAGAGGAGAGGTCTAAGCTACAGATAAAAGTTTGATTTTTCTTTTCTTTTTTTTTTTTTTTGGAGGCTGGCTGGTATGTGGATCCAACCCTTGACCTTGGTGTTGTAACACCGCACTCTAACCTGGCCCTCAGATAAAAATTTGAGACTCATATAAAAATTTGAGATGATCAACTTATAGTTCATTCATTCAGCAAATACATATTGAGCTCTTAATTTGTGCTAAATACTGGGCTATGCACTGGGGATATAGTGATGAACAAGAATGCTATGTAGTCCCTGCTTTTATAGACACTGACCACAGAGTTGATAATAATAATATGAATGGCTTCTATGAGCATTCTCTATGTGCTAGGCACTGTGCTGTCTTACATTAATTTTCTCCTTTGATCCTCTAAACAACGCTGTGAGGTTGATTATATTTTCCAGATGATGATGTCACATAATGTATCCAAATCAGATAACTAGTTATAGGAGCCAGGATATGAACCCAGGCAGTTAACTCCAGAGTCTGTGGGAGCTCAGAGATCAAGGCTAACTTTACCTAACTGTGCTTATGGTGAAACTGAAGCCTCACACAAGAGTTTGTGATTAGTTCATCCAGTTCCCAAGCTCAGTGTTCTGTGCACTTGGTTAGATGACCTCCTAGTCTGGGTTCCCATTACCCTCTTCTTTTTTTTTTTTTGGTCCTTTTTTGAGACTGGCCG